TATACTCATAGTCGTGCATGCCGTAGTCATTAGACCATTGACCTCGCATCCCAACAAAGCCGGGACGGAGCACGCCGGGTTCTAACCGGACCAGTCTCTCACATCACCAAGTGCGAAGCACTGTGAGGTATTCGGCGAGTCGCATGAAGGGTCCGCTGCATCCCGCTAAGGGTGTTCGGCATCTTGTGCCTACTTCCTTGCGTATGAATGACAGCTGCGTATTACTTCGCGTATTTTCTAGTGCTTTCACTTCTGGAGACAGTTATTCGCACTGTGTAACTGCCTCGAGGGTGCTTTACCAATCAAACACAACGTGGTGCGATCATCCCCTTTCCGCGGAGTGAGGGTTCTCGACCCCGCACAACATGATCAACTCGACCATCATTATGGTCACCGCAAAAAAAAAACAAGAGATAAAAAAGAAAGCGGGAACGACAACCTGGTTGAACAACTCACGAAGTGATCGGCAACGTTGTTGCCAAGCAACGAAAACCCAACCCAAACACCGGAGGGGAAAGTACGGGGAGGGGTAGGGGGATTGATGTCGAAACGTGATGGTGTCAACAAATGTGCGAGCAACATTGAAGCACCATCGCCAAAACGCTTGCCCAGCACCCAAAGATGATTTTCGAAACGTGGGAAAGAGGTTAGCCCGCTGCGGGTGCATACGTCACGTGATGGCCAACTAAGGTACAGACCTCAGGCTGATGTTTGTGGAGAGGCAACGTTTGAGAGGTATCACACCAAAGAACCATGTTTTCGTCGCCGTCCGAGGCCCTGTCGATACTCACGATGATCCCTCCATGGATCATGCACCGAACACCTAGGATAAATCCTCTCTCGGGCTAACATCTATCACTCACGTGGACCGAAGAGTCGTCCAGCTCGCCGACGCAGTCCGTGCCGTCGAAGGCGGCCCCCTTGGTCTCGCAGATGGCCGTCATGATCTCCTCCTGCTCGGAAACCCCGTCGCCGATGATGTCCGGCACTACCCTCCACACTGTCATCGTCGTCGTGACAACCTGCGTTGGAACAGCCGGAAAGGTTTTCTCACCAAAGAGGAATCCCGACACCGGCGTACAACAATCAGCAACATGAACATCCGTCAAGTATAGCGAACAATAGGGGACGGATGGCGAGGAACGTGCAGTGAATACAATACACACCGCAACCGCCAGAGCCCGTATCTTCTTGCAGCACTGCCGGGATTGACAGCGAACATCCACCAACTGCCTTCGAACACTGGCCGATACCAGGAATCATACCGCTCTCCCACAGAATACCTGGAAGTGGCCGGGGTCCTTTTTGATCTCGCCCACAATCTGGAAGTCGATCACCCTCAAGGTCGGGTAATCTGGTTGGCTCTCGAACGTCGGCCCGCTCACGGCCGTGATGTACACAAAACTTTCGACATCGGCTGGCGCTGACAACGTGAACGTTTCCATGGTGTCGGGTCCTCCGGCGCTGGTGAACTCCTGGACAGAGAGGCAAAAAAGAATTGCGCCCATCAGTAGGTAGGGGGGACGGCGGAAGATTGAGCAAAGACTAGCGGTAGGTTTGTTTCCATGTCGCCGAGATGCACCTACAGAATAGCGTATGCACAAATGTCCGCTGGCAACATATACCTGGCCTCTCAGAACATCGCCCCCCCCCGGTGTTTTACACTGATGACCAACTTTCTTTGCGGAGGCGGTAGACAGCGTATTTAATATTTTTCGGCAGGGCAGGGTCGTATGAGCTTTGATTGAGCATGCGGCATGGATAGGAACGTATGCAAGTGCATGGTGGCATGCGTTGTCATTTGTTGGTGCTGTTGTAGCACTCAGTCCTTCCCCATGTGGCCGGAAGTGTTGCTATCCTTTGTTCTGATCCCGAAGGTGAGGCAGTCAACGAATTCTGTGATGAAAGGTCAGCAACAACGAACAGCAGTACGTAGCGTACAAAGACGCCGCAATTTGTCCGTTCCGCATAGAGTACATAACTTCGCACTTTCGCAACAAGCCTAGATAGATCCTAGGTCAATGAAGGCGTCGTCCGGCGATACGAAAGCGACTGCATGCGTCTCGCTCTCCACAAACGGAAGCCTTTTCAGCACAGAGGGAGCGCACCGCCCTCAGTGTTTATTGTCTCCTCACCTCGACGATTTCCTCGTCGGTTTCGACCTCGTCGTAGCTCACTCTAAAGACGAACTGCCTGTCGGAAGGGAACCTTAGCTTCACCGCTGTCACCGTCGAGGGGGGTACTCTGAACTGGAAGTAGTCTTCCGGCTGCAGCACCAAATGGAAACGTTTCGTACAGGCAGGGCGCAAGGCGCGGCTGTCTCAAGAGCAAACTTTGCGCACCTCGTGCATCGGTCGAAAACTGAACGACACACGCTCGGAACAGGATCTACAGCCAAGATGCTCATGGGTGACTCAGCAAGCAATATGATGGAGGCTTGAAGTAAGCCTGGCTCAAAGTGCATACATCCGTCCCATCAACGCACGGTCGATTTCCTGCGATGCGGCTTCTAATGCACGCTTCGACGATCAAGATGGGTTCAAGCGAAACGTGCCGGGATTCACCAGTTCATTCGTGAGTGTCAAGAGTGCGAGGCTTCCTCAAACAGGTACGGGGGCGATTGTCTGCTCCTTGCTACGACCTTGTGTGAACATGCGTACGAAATAGGGCGCCCCAACAGCCGGCATCGCTCTTTGAGATGGACACACGACAACGGATCGAACTGCCCCACGTAGGAATTTTCAACCGCACGACGAGGTGAACCGAAAAGGGCGTGCCTCACCGACCGTATCTTGAGATTTGATGGCTGTCCTTCTCACAACGGCATTACGTCTGATAGGTTCGATCGTTTTACAAACTGGAACGATACCCAGCGCACGAAAGCTCTTCGTGGGCACATTTCTGACCATGCGTAAAAGATGCCTTCGCAGCGTGCCCAGGAAAGTCTCACCCTCGGCATGTGGAACTCGAACCGGGTAGGTACGTCTTCGTCCGAGTCACCGCTGCTATCGTCGTCGCCGTCGTACCCACGTGGCTGACAACAGCGCGGGCGAACGAAACGATGAAAATGCACGGCAAAGGCTGTACTGAAAAAATGGTTGATGGTTGCTACCTCCACGATCGGCGTTGCTCTTGGCCCCTTGGCACCGGGAGTCCTACCAAGGTCTAGACCACTTGGCTTGCTCCGCCTCCCCACTGTGAGGCGGCCCCCTGTTGTCGCATTTCACGTGCACTGGCAAACATAGGCTGCGGAATGAATCAGAACATTCCTCGCAAATTTGTCGCGGGCTGCACTCACGAACCAATAGCTGTAGTCGAACACCGGAAGCGTCCCGTCAATGAAGCTCGTGTTCTTTGTCTCAAGGATCACCATCTGCACGTCGTCATCATCGGCAAGCACGAAGTCGACATCCGCACGGGTCACGCTGGCGTTTCATGAATGGAATCAACGACAAAGATGGTGAGCAACTGTAATGTTGGATGCATTCCGCACGATCTTCACATCCAAGCCCGACACGTGGGTGCCGGGTCAGCATCGTCTTGTCCTGAACCAGTTTCCAACAGCGCCTTTGAATTTGTGCATGGAAAGGGCAACCCACGCTCTTGGAGCGTTCATCTCTCGAGACTGGGTGCATGCGCAAGAACGTACCTCCTTGATGCCAATCCACTGATCGACACGTTGAAATACGGGCACAAGTCTAATCTCGTTGGTGTGAACTTCAACGTTGAACGTCTGATAGTCCGTGGAGTCTCCGGAGCTGATCGCAGAGGAAACGACCGTCTGGGGCGAGCATCAACAGCAGAAACACGAAGAGAAGCAAGACAGAGTAAATGGTTGGGGGGCGCAACGTGCTTCGTGCGGCAGGAACTTTCATGGAAAATACATTTGTGTGGAACAGCTTGTGTTCTTCATGTGGGGATATCTGACAAGGTGTTCAAGTGAAGAGACCGTGCGATCGATGTCCGTTTTAGATCCTTGCGCGCGTTGATCTTCCCGATTTGGTCTTCACCGTGTCCGACGCATGACTCCAAACTCGCGCTCGATAGCTATCAGATGGTTCAAAACGGCCTAAGCCGCCCGGGGTCACCACCCTGGCACGATGCGGTGAAGATGACCCTAGAGGTGACAAACAAGTAAACCATCTCGCAACCGCTTTGTCGAGGGAGGTGGAGGCCTGGCCAAACCTAACTACGTTCGACTCTGGCCGAATTTTTCGACCAAAACGGGGGACAAGGGAAACAAGTCCAGCCTGTCTCACGCCAGTTTCCGGCCGGTTTCCCGCCCCGCCAACAGGACACCCTTGTCCCGTTGCATTCTACCAACCAACGAAACTCCTACGCATCGCGTTTTCATCCCACACATGAGAGGACTTCAGAGTACCGAATTAATTATTGGGAAAGCGAACGAACACTGCCTCATGTGGGTAGAAACATGATTGAAGATGCAGTAAATGTCGATGTCGCCTTACACGTCCATTGCGGCGCACAGGTGTTTGGGATGACATCTGGTTGGGGCATGGAAAACAGCAAATTCCCCTAAGACAGCAGTGTGCGGTGCCAGCACGTCCGTATGGGGCTTGCAGTGATGTGTGAGATAGTTCTTCGCTTGTCTCGGACGGAATTCCTCCGCAGAATTTTTGACCAATCAGGAGACTTTACCAGCCGGGTAATTTTCCTTACCACCCAACCCTTGTCGACAGTGTTGGCCTCAATGCTGAACTCGTTGTATTGTTCATCGCCCATGTGGAATGCTGCAGGATTTCGAACAAAAGGACAGAAACGAGGAAGGGGAACAGGAAGGGAGATAAGAAACGTCTGGGGGGAACGACCTAGGCACGGACGGCCCGCACGACAGACACGAGTGGCTGTCAGGCTTGCGCGACTGTGTGGGTGGGGACGTTTGATGCTGCTGTTCGCAAACGATGTTGCACTGCGCCATGTTCCTGCTTGGGGCTTTAAACTATTCCAGGTCACCTCAGGCGACTGTGAACAGCGATTCTGGTGGCCGCGGCGGACCTATGTAGCAAAGATGCAAATCTCACGGACTCGGGATCTCAGCATCACCGCCGCGGTCACCTGCGCATGCACCTCCCGGTCTGACAAAGAGTGCGCGTTGCTTGAACGCTTCTTCGAGAGGCAAACAAAAGTCTGCTCTAATGGTGGTAGACAGCCTGCCATCATGGGTGATGGTGGGAGCGGACTCACCAAACTGAATTTGACGGACGTAACGGAAGTAGTTGAGGCTGAGCATGAGGTGGCAATCCTCGTTGTTGGAGACCAAGTTCCCCGCCGCTAGAGGGCCGCAGGTCCATCGAGAGTCGTCTGACATGTCGCCGTCCTGATCGTCAAGCGTCCGACGCGAGAGAATAAACCTTTGTAATCGAAAGGCCGAGCGGATCCCAAGGAACTCGACAATATTAGGGAGGACAACGACGATAGTAACAACAACAACAACAACAACAATGACAGCAGCTCAGGTTACCTTGATGTAATACACGTGGCATCCCTCGAAGTGGGCTGGAGAATCACAACCGCCGGCGGTGGGCTCCCGGTTGTCGTAGTTTGGGTGGCCGGAGCTGCCCGTGTCTGCCGCCAGCGGCAGCATGCCGGTGGGCTGGAGCCAAGCGTTTTCGGACACAGGGCGCACGGGAGCGTCTCTGACGCGGAGTTCCACCTGGGGTGAGGCGTTAACGATTCGAACATGGACCGTTAAGCGAGTCCGGAAAAGCCCCGAGGGAGACGTGACCGTTCGGAGTTGAAAAAGCGGATCGCCGGGGGTTTCCATTATGTTCCCGCCAGCCTTGTTGCGTGCAGAGTCTTGTGCCATAAGAGTATGCGCGCAGTGGCGTTGACAAAACCCACGCGGCTCTCTCATACAGTACCCACCTCCCTCAAAAAACAATCTCGTGCGAACAAACGTCCTAGGTCGTCCGTCGTGCGCTCACACCTCGTACCTCGTTGATCACGATCGCTCCGCCATCACCGGAGGGCACGGCTTCAATCTTGACGTAGCGAGCCAGGGCGAGCACGCCGCCGAAGGTCTGCAGGCCGTCGCTCCCGAGCGGCCGGCCTCCGGCCTCGAGGCCCGACCTCACATAGGAGAACATCCCGGACTCGCCGGCGGCCAAGACGTTGAGCTTTCCGCCCGCGTCGGTGTCGGTAGAGAATGCTGGGACCGCGGCGGCGGCGGCGGTGGCGGAGGGGGAAGAACCAGCACCGAAGACAACGGGGGAAAGGGGTGTGATGGGCTGGCGACGGGATAGGACTGAGGATGCATTGAAAAGTATGGCAACATGACGAGTGAGCCGGGGTTCGCGTGCCACCGTGACCCGGGTGTCACTGGGGCACTCTCCGGCCAAGACTGAATCACCCCACACCCCGGCAATGACTCGGGTCGGGGTAGGTGTGTCGCAAAACTTGTTTTCGTCTTGGTCTGATATGCGTGGAAATAGCGTTCTAAGGCGCCTTGCTTTCGGAGTCCGTGCAGGGTGTTCTCGACGACAGTTGTCGCATGCAAGCGTCACCCGGGTGCAAACTACGAGAGGATACACACCTCCGCTGTCGATCTTTACCGCGATGATGCGAAGGACGTTTCTACACGTGCAAATGCGCCCCCTTCACGGTATCCACTCTCTGTCGCCACCAAGACGGGTATGGTGACAAGCTGCGAAGAAGCGTTTCTCAAAGAAGAAAGATCGTACACAAGAACACCAGTGACCAAAACCTGCAACACTGGTGTACTCGCGGGGGTCACGAAACGGTAGGCTAGTGGATCCTGTACACCTCACCAATACGGAGCTGGTGGAGGGATTCAACGGCCTGTAGATCGTACGTGATTTCGCACGCCCCTTCCGACGACGGGCAAGCCCACGACGACCCGTCCGTTGCGTCGCCGTCCTGTATTCGGTGAAATCGGGACCGCTTTGGGATTTGGTGTGGGGGGGGTTCCGGCACTCGAAACACACGCGAGTTACCGCGAAACACTCTTGACAAGGTTCGTCCATCTGTTCTGGGATCAGTGGCGTAGTTTTGCCCTGAACGTGTATCACGCCAGGCCCCGGGACGATTGGATCCCTATCCGCCCTTTCGCCTTGCTCGCCCGGTTGCGTTACGGTCCTGGTGGGTTTCACGGTGTTGCAGCACGGTTCATCATGCTGTACGGCTTACCAAGGTTAGGATGGCCGAGGCATTGTTGGTGGTTGCGGTGGCGGAGATCGACGCCCGGGTGCTGGCTGACACGCCGAGAGGCTCCACCTCGTCAACAACGATGTATATCTCCACCTGTTCAACAAGTGTGTTATTTGTCCGGGTGGCCAAAAGGATACCATATTTCCATTTCGTTTTGTCGAGGCGACGGGACATTTCGATGAATGGATCAGGTCTTCAGCAGCCACCGTTGTTTGAAACCAATCGGGGTTTCTAAACCCAAGACACAGGCGTGCATGGGCTTCACCTCACCTCAAGGATGGCGAGATAATCCCCGGCGCCCTCGACGCCTTCGATGCTGAGGCGCCCACCTTCAACACCTTCAAGGCCGGGAACTTCTTGCAGCTCCGACGACCCGGAGACGGCGTCCCACTCCTCCAGGATAATGGCACCGTCCACGAGCACCCGGAGCTTGCTCATGCTTTCAGGGTGAAGCGCTAGACACCCGTCAGTCGCCGAACGGAATGGGGGTTGGGTTTCAAGCGAATTTAGGTCGACAATTTTGGAAAGAATTACAAAAGCGCTTCCTGGGTGGGTCCCTTGGGTCACGGCAGGGTTGTCCAAGCGCGACCCGCAAGTGGTTACCAGGCGGTGACTTCGTCGTTCATCTGACTACAAAGTTCGAAGCGAAAAGGCACAAAGACGAAGCGGGGTGGTGATATCACGCACTCCCTAGCTAAACCGGAAAGTGCTGATCGTGACCGCTGAGTGGATCGGCCGACGAACCGCAGATATGGTCGGATTCTGCTTGAAGTTCATAACATGACCACATGCTCGCTGCCGCCGCCCGCGTTGTCAGTGATTACTTGCTCGTGAAGCGTCTCCGACAGCTCTCAGTTCTCGCTCTTTCGCCAGTGTAATTCCCGATGCGTCGCCACAACAATAGTTTTTCCTATCCACCACCTCCAGCTCGACTCGCTTCGCTCTTTAACCCCCACACGCTTGTCACTGCATTAACCATTTCCAGACGTTCTCGTCATGGATACAACAGTCCAGGTGTCGTCAAGTGCATCGAACTCACCAATTTTTACTCCCCCCAGAATGCTCTTGTCCACAAAGTCGGCGGAAAGGGCGAAGTCTACGCCGCAGAAGCCAGCGTAGGGTGGGGTGCAGCCGTAACGGGAGTCCAACTCAAGAGAGCCATCACGAGTCAGCAGTCCCACACATCTCCCGACGGCGCAGTCGCCGTCGATAGGGTCTTCGCCCCCATAGAAATCCTCGATTGAGGACGCCGACAAGCCGGCGTGCTCTCCGGTAGCGTACGCTTCTTCGATGGGTAGAACTTCCGACAGTTCGACACTGATGGCTGACAAAAGGAAGAGTGGGGTGACGGGGCGGTGGATACGAATAATGTGGCTCCGTAGCCCTTCGTTGTCTCTGACACTCGTCCCTCATGCTGCTGTTGATCCCTTATCTCGGAACCGAAAGGCACGCAGCAACTTCTTTAAGATATAATTCAATTCGCGCTTTATTCCTCGCGACCAAGCAACGTTCTTGCCTATACTCCGTACGTATTTTGTTGTTGTAGTCTTCACTGAAGTTTTCCTGATTTCTACATTCAGCCCACCCCAATATATATTTTTCCCTACTGGTCGTGAGGCAAAGAATCGAATGCGCGTCGTCACAAGCAAAAAGAGAGGACTAAATAGTATGTAATGCATCGACCTCGCTGACGACATGATTTGAAGTTGCAGTCTTCGTTGATCTCCGTATGTATGTGTCGTAAAGTTTGACTGCCACACTCGAATATCTTACTTCTAGATAAAATAGAGACTAGACTAATGCATGGTTCCATAGAGTTTATTATCTAATCCACCGTCTAGTCGTAACCCTCTCGGGATCGGGATATTTATCATTTCTCAGATTGTATAAGCAGGGTGACCTTGCACCGCAAAGTGGAACGTCGGTTTTTCAGCACCGTATCGCTGCGAGCGCGCCGAGGACACCCGTTGAGATAATTCCTCCGAAGTACAGTGGTTGTAGATGTTTACCCGGTACCAGCGCTAGACTTCTTTCTCGAGCAAGATGATGCCGAGCCATCTTTTTGTAGGGTACGCGTCCGGTGGTGGTGAAACACAAGAGAGGCTGACTCTCTGGACCTCGGTCCTCACTGAAGAAGAAGTAAGTACTTCTGAACTACGTCGATCTATATATGTGTAGTAGTTTTGACAAGAAGACCAATATCTCTCTCTCCCTACCGTTCGTGAGGCAAAGAATCGAATGCACATCGTTACAAGCTAAAAAAGTGGACTGAAACTAGCATCTATCACGCCGAAAGATCTTACACGTAATTGCAGCGTTCGTTGATCGCCGTGTAGGTCGAAGAACTTTCGCAAAATAAATCTGGTCTAATCACAGACGACATCCTATCAGGATATATATAGTATATATAGTCTATGGTACGTTTTCTTCAGATAGATGCATTCGCAATGTGATCTTGCGCCGCCAAGAGAAACGGCGATTCACAGCAGCACAGCACTTTTTGCGAGCGCGCCGAGGATATTCCCTGTTGACCTAAAAAAATCTTCCGAAAATTAGCCGCAGACGCGTATCTACCATTTACGTCAGTAGTTCTTGTACTATAATAGTGCGATGCAAGATTATGCGAACGTGGCTGCTTTGCAGGATACACGCTGATGATCCACCGAGACTGACTCTCTGCACCTCCACTCCTTCTCACCTTCACACCCGACGATCCCGAGTAGCAGGAAGTACCCCGCAGGCGTCAGGAGCCACCGCAGCAGCGACATGTCTCTTCTAAAGCCTAGTCTAGTCTATACTGCCTCCCTTTTCCCCCGCCGTTGAAAAATCTCGTTCACGTCCTCTCGCGCGGAATCGTTCGACCGCGGAGTCCAAGCTGCTGTAGTGTCTGCGCCTGTGCCTGCCTCAGACAGATGCGTATCTGATCGATACGAAGGGGTAGGAACGAATCCAGTTCGTAGAATGCTTGGTTGAATGATGTGTAGACTATCCCGGCACTACCACAGTACGGAGGGACTCGCTCACGAACGATACAAAATGCACTCGCCCCGCTTTTCCTCTCTGGCTGGGTGGCGCGCTGCGGGCGGTGTTTGATTTTCGGGCGGTTGCGCGTCGTGTATCGAACGTACAACTGGAGGGAACGACAAGGGCACCACCAGGTAGCAGCTTGCGCCCAACCTTGGTTCACAACAGCACGCGGATCCTCGGATATGGATAGCTCGGTAACAAGATGGCGATCCTGTGAAAGGCGGCGAGATTGAGAAGAACAACCGTAGTCCATTTGGCATACAAGTATGCGTCCCTCTGAAGGTCTCGGAGAGTCTCGTCACAATCTCCGTAGATTGTACGTTTGAACATGTAGACCATAAGTGATGCCGCACCTTTGGCATTTTTTCTCTGCGACGCTTGTACTACTGCTGTGCATGTGTGTGGTCGATTGCACCTTCGCCCATACGATTTCGTGTAAAAGGTAAATGCACGTGCTCCAAACGCTACTGACCGCTAGTCTGTACCATTTTGCGCCGGAGCGAGTTGAGAATTGCACCACTATTTGCTACTGTAACATCGCAGTCTACACGACAGGCCTATGCCGCTTTAGGGTAATGGTAGAAGCGCAGATAGGCGCTATCGATTCGGACTCATTGCTAATTTATCCTACACCCCATCTAGTTTATGGATTAGAGAGAGATAGACTTTGTCAGTGGGAAGTTCAGGTAGAAATTTACATGATGTACATGCGTAGAAGTTCCGTCCACGCACAACAGCAGTAAACCAACGTGGTAGGGTATGCGTGTATGCATAGTACCGCTGCCAAGGTCACTTTCCTCCGTGAATAAATACCGAACATTGGGAATGAAACGCAGAAGAATACGGAGGATCATATTTATTACTTAACCATACCAACATTCATTCCGGAACGTGCGTTGTCCTTGTGGCAGTGAACCAACGGCCACTTTCTGGCCGAGATACACAGCACAACATGTTCACGTGGCTGAAGCTAGGTGGTACCGGTTGACTTGTAGGCATACGCGCCTTCCGGCCGCCCGGTTCAATCTTCACCGAGAGATCAGGATGTTCTTTATTTCTCTTATTTTTTTCCGACGCTAATCGCGGGCGGTTGGCTTGTGACCACGGAAGACGTCCGCATCAGTTGGACCAGTCGGACATCAGAAGGTACTGAGCGGAGACCGGAACGGCTATTTAGGTGAAGACAACAACAACATAAACTCTCTAGTTTTCATTTGACGTCGTCGTTGCCGATGTCCCTCCTGTGGGCCCTCACCTTTCACCCACGGGATTTCGAGACCAACCCGGTATCTCCTCCAAGACTGACTATCCAACAATGAACAACGTCAACCAAAGTAGTAGTGTCACATCCGCTATTTATCAGATCAACCACAACGGTTACTGTGGCTGCCACGACGCTCGCCAAGAAGGTTAGCCACTGAGTGTACAGATGAGTTGACGAGAGCAAAGGCAACGACCTCCTGTAGCAATTCGTGCGACAAGCACATCGTTTGGTTATTTGTATGCTTGGTCATAAGCGCTGGCCGATCAGGCATGCCGCAACATGTAAGGGGTTTGCCTGACGTGCAATTCCATGATGCCTGACATTCGCCTGGAATTTTGCCCGAAACAAAATCTACTAGTAAAATTTCAAGTCATATTCTCTCAAGCATGGCGGCAGGTCATATGGGGCTTATCGTGGTGGCTTCTCGCTCTTGCTACCAGGCTAAGTGCAGGATAATGCAGAATCAGTCGGCAAGTAAGGATGTTTCCAAAGCAGCGAACACTGAAAAGCGAGTTCAGGAAGGCCAATTGGGCTATTTTACGAACTACCGTTCAAACTTCCGGATTTTTGAAAAAATTGCCAAATTTTTCGATGACATCCAAGCTGTGGAAGTCGAAATCAGACATGTTATAAAAGGCCAAACACGGTCTCAGGCAAACATACGCCCTCTCAGGCAACAAGTCAGGCATGCCGGATCGGCCAGTGCTTTCTTGACCCTCCTCTCTCATCTCATGTTTGAACCGCGCAAGAGCGGCCTTCGAATCCCATCCCATGTTTGAACCGTGCAAGAGCGACGTTCGAATTTTGGGTTCAACGGCTCGCTTTCCGTGCGTTTAGTCGAGTTACAACACCGTACAGCATCTCTGCGTTCTGCATCCACCGGTGCACGAGATCCACGAACACGTGGGAACGGGGCTGCTAACATCGAATACGCCGTCGTCCAGTCACAGCTTGAGCGGTGGATCCGCAAATCAGTCGAAGAAGCTCTACGGTCACCTGGAGAGAAAGAAGGTACTTCTTAACCACCACGCGCAACCCGACCATCGTTATCTGCAATGTGAATTAGGTTTCATCCACGTCACACCAGAATGGTAAAAGTGGATGGAGAAACAAGGAAAACAAGAGCGTTCCAATTTCTGTCTTCACCTCGGCGACAGATCAGCATTGCCGCGACAACAGGACATACGTACCACACACATACATGTCCAACACGTCCTCCGGAGTTGTTTTTTCAACCCTAAATCTGCAGCGTTTCAACGTCTCTGCTTTCCTTCAATGTATTTCTTGTCGTTTCCCACCCCTTTCACCCACCTCACGCCCGTTCTAGCCACTGCATCCTTACTTCCTCTTCGGTAATGACTGAATTTTCCTGTGTACTACTTACCCACACCGAAGAGGTATCCTTGCTCCATGTGTTCTGGGTCTGATGACTGAACCCCCCACTGCACGGGGAGACTTTTACGACCCCAACGTGACGTCGGTGTAGGTGCGAAGAAGCACGTTTACCGGGCCGGCCGGCATGGAAGAGGCCATGCCATAGATCGCCGCGGTGCTGTTTTCGTCCCCCTGCGATGACCAAGCGATCCGCGGCGGCGTTACGGGGAGTTCGTTAGGTCTGCGGTTCAAAGTCCTGTGATGGATACGAGATACATCGGCAGGGGTATCGTCATCACATGGCTTGACCGTCGAACAATCTTGGTGGTGTGACCCCAAGAGCGATGTGATGCAGGGCAGCGCCGGCAAGACTCGAGGCAAGGACTGCAAGAGAAGCGGCGGCACTTCGAACTGCTCCAGCGAGACGGTGGTAACCAGCGCAGCATCACGAGAAATTCACCGGGATGTTCGTGGAGAAACCGGAAAATGGACATTTCCAAGAATACTGGAACAAAAAATCACAAGTTGCCCTACGTAATCGGTGCTAACGGGCGGGAGATCGCACGAAACACGCACTAGGGCAAGATCGACCATCGCAAGAACACCCTAATTGAAGACGTCGTCGCCGAGGTGCGACGCACACTCTGCAGCTGCTGTTTGCCGGAAAAAACAAACCTGCCAGAGGGGGGGCGTCACACCGCCGGTCGTCGAGCACAAAAATCAAGATCGGAATACTTTCACCTCCCCGGCCGCCGCCGCAGCTTCCAGCGTCGACGCCAACAGGTCCTCCAGGAACACCCCCGCCTTGCCAACGTGGCACATCGTCACGCAGAGGTGGAGACACGGGGGATGCTGGAGGGCGTTCAGGCTCCATCCCCGGTGGCTCATGCGGTCACCCTGCAGGTTTTGGCAAAAGAAACAGACAAGTGTTTGTGAAGAAGCTGTGAGGAGAGTTTTTGAGGAAACGTAAGGTCATCGTTGCTTGTATGCGTGAGATGTAACCGCTTTTGTCCTTGCGTTCCTCCGGCTCCTCCGAGATGGTCATAATTGTTGTCTACTGATAGCGCGGGGGGGGTAGATCCAGCGATGTTCGGAAAACACGGTTTCACGTCGATGTTTCCTCCCTGCTCGAAGGTTGTGGACAGAGAATAAGGAAGGTGAGACGGGGGGAGTAGGAGCCAAGACTCTTGCGCGTGATCCTGGCGAGAGAAAAACGTTTCGGACGCGACCATCGTTGGGTCTACCGAAGTCCCGCGAGGCACTTACAACTTTGTAAATGTTGACGCCGTCGTCTCCGCGGAAGCACACCACCATTGCCCTGGGTTCTCCCAACAAAGAAAGGCCAGAGATGTCGGAAACACCTTGCGCAATTTCCTGGCGACGGCCAGACGAAAACACACACACGGTGGACATCATGACAGGAGAACACAAGCTAGAAGATACCTCGCTGGTCCACCACAGCCAACTCGGCGGAAAGTGGCGCATCGCGACTACAGGGGTTCGAGGCGGGTAGTGGGAGCTCAGCAACATCACTCGCACGCAGGCGGAGCGAGTGAAGAAAAAAAAAAAAACGGTATTTTCGTGTTCTACGCAGCATGCACCCTCGCGCTCGGACGGAGGTTTTACCTACCTACCGTGGATAACGTAGGAGATCACACCCCCTGGTCCAAGTTTGAAACCTCGGCTACTTTGTGACGAAGCGGATATCGTATTCTACCATGCGTAATCGGAAAAGTCCCCGGTGAGATGGTTTCGCCCCCATTTTCTCTGGTGTGGAGCGATCGAGCTCAAGAAAGCGGTCAAGGGGGGCTGTGATATCTTATGCCATCTACGGAATTGAGACAGACTGGCTATGCTTGGCGTCTAAGAGTAGCGAGATCTGCGCACTTGCCTTGACCATTTCCATGATGCCCGTGACCGCCTTCTCGTAACCGTTCCGGCCCATGCCGACCTGTATGAAGGCAAGGGTTCGAGGACGTTCGGTACAGGGGGGGCGCCGTGGAAAAGCAGGAGGGGCGGGCAGCGGCGTACTCATGTTTCGCATGCCATAGCAGTTCGACCATTGGCGAGCGGGCGNGGGGGGGGGGGGGGGGGGGGGGGGGGGGGGGGGGGGGGGGGGGGGGGGGGGATAATAAAGATTATGGGGAAGATTTGTCGGGAGAAGAGCATCATCTGCCTGGTGGCGACGTCGCCACCAGTTTTTTTTATCGATTTAGGGAAAGCCAGGACAAATAAAAGGGGAAACGCACAAGTTCCTCGACGTGAGAAATAGGGACCGAAAGGAGGCTGCGTGTGGTTGTTGGTTGTTTAGTATTCTCGGGGACGTGCGCTCACATCATTGCACAGGGCCGTAGCGTCACACATTGAAAGACCCGCGGGCCTTGATCTCTGTCCGATGCGGACACTTTGGGAGACAAACAACCGCGGAACCATGTCTGCACAGCAGTACCCCTGCTGGGTGCCTATCTGGATTAACGGGTCCACCCCACCGCCAAAGAGGTGGCAAATACGAATGACCAGGGATAACTACATGTGCCGTAGGCATGTTCGCCGTGTGAGGCCACCGGCGGGCGCTCACCATGGATGCCCAGCAGGCCGCGGACAGCCCTCCAGGGCGGCTTCCGGCGATGGTGGGAGTGACGTACAGCCCCCCCGTCCACTCCGGGAAGCAGAAGTACGACTGGTGTCGCAGCTACGGAGGGAGGAGAGAAAGGGTGCGGCGAAAGCAACGAAAAATTTCCTTACCGAACAGCGAACTTGGTGCGGAGGAAACGTGCGTGGGAGGCGCCGCTGTCCGAACAAAAAGAGCAACCGATCAAGCCAATGAAACAATCTTCGAAGCGTCCACAAACCTTTACTAACTCGTGACTGACCAGTTAACACCACCACACAACCGACAAGAACGTGCTGCAATCCCTAGAGCGCCCCTTTCCCGCTTGCTTCATACCTCCTTGTTCCTGAACAGCGCCACCGACGTCCCCTTCGGCGCGTACCCGTACTTGTGCGTGTCGGCGGAGATGGAGGTGACTCCCTCCACCCCGAAGTCGAAGGGCTCCACCGAATAACCCAGGCTCTTCGCGAACGGCAACACGAAGCCGCCGAGGCAGCAGTCCACGTGCAGGCCGCACTGCAACGGCGTATACAGCGGCGTTGAACTCCGTAAAAGTGAAGGGAAATATTCTTGTTGCGTGGGGGGGGAAACATGACCAGATTTCTTCGCTACCGTGAGCTTTGCGCGTCCCAGAGTCGATTCACCCCGGTGTCATGTGGACATTTACGGGTCACGACAACAACAACAACAACAACAACAACAACAACAACAACAACAACAACAACACAAACTAGAAACAAAAGCAACAGCAACGATATGAAAATACCCACTGTGTGTGTTGTGGGTACCGCGGTCCCTCACCCCGTATCTTGTGGCCAGCTGTGCCAACTTCTCGACAGGATCGATCACGCCGTGAGGGAAGCTCGGGGCCGACGTGTAGACCATGATAGTGTTGGCCGACATCGCGTTGGCCGTGGCCTTCACGTCCGCTTTCATCGTTACCGGATCCACGGGCACCTGCATGCACGAGGCGTGTATCAAAGAGACGTGCGGCGTCCCGTGCGTCGGGTTGTGGCCAGGAGAAGCCAAATACCGGTCGGCCATTTCAGTGTCGGTGGACCGAGCGTGAAAGGTGCAAATATGTCTTGTCCCGTATGCTCGAACGGGCTGAGTCGAAAATTCGTGGATGTTTCCGTGGCCATCGCGATGGGTAGAAAGTAGGTCAAACGAGCGGAAGCGAAAGATGACAATCAAGACATGGTTCTTCATGGTCCAACCAAAGACCAACACTCGCGCACCAAACCCAACGAGCTTCAAAAATCCACGGTCACGGGCCACCGATGCCGTGTCTACAACGACCTCAAGACCGCCGAATAAGCGGTGGTAACCGCCGCGAATATGCGCACCAATCGCTTCATCTCGTGCTGGTCATAATTGTGCGGTACAGATTTCCGGTGGATTTGTAAAATTCTCGCGGTGAAGCTGAGCACCACTGGATGCAACAACCCAATTCCCCTCCGTACGAGAGGCGTCAACTTTGCAGCACAACGGAGCGTGCTTCGACACGCGACAGCTTCGGGGGATAAGAAAACCGTCGGTGACACAAGATATCACACCCCGTGGACCGACTTCCAAAGCTCGGCCACTCCACGACGAAGAGGATGCCAACCTCAAACGATACAGTGTATGTTTTCGGATATATTTCGACGAGACGATTCCAACGCCGCCACTTTCGGCACCGCAACTCTTTGTGTTGTGGAACAATGGAGCTTGAAAAGTCATTTGTATCTTGCACAAAACTCCCAGCCACGAAGGCTCGCACCATCCAGACTATATATACTCTTGGCTCACCTTGATCAGGCGTATCTTCATGAGCGAGCACGCCTTGTCGATTGCCGCGTGTGCGGTAGTGGCCGCCACGATCTCCGGAGACGTCACTCCTCTCTGGCGGAAAAGGCAACGAACCAGCACGTTGATTGGGCACGGAAATCGACGTGGTGGATGGAAAAACGGAAACAATGAAGCACAGAACAACTATTACGTGCGTCTGAGCAACTCGGCTGCCAAAACTACACAACACTGTACGTACCAAGAACCTGCGGAAAGCGTCTCTCACACCAATGCCCCGCAGAACGACCACGACATTTTGCAAGGCAATGCGTTCTCTCTTCCGGCAACCATCAGGGTAAAGGAAACGTGACAAGCGCCCCATGGCAAAAGACGAACACGTCAGCCTGCTCCGGCGATGAGGGGGGAAAAGTGCGGTTTATTCGCCAACAAGGCCACAACCGACCAGAAGAACGTCCGGGCAACACACGCCACCAAACCGGAACGGAGGCGCCACCTCTCTGTAGAAATCCCGATGAGCTTTGGCGGCCAGGACGATGCTCTCTGTCCCGCCACTGGTCAGGACGCCGCAAACACCGGCATCGCCCCCGTCCAGCAGCCTCGCGGTCATCGAGATCACCTGAGGTGCGCCGTTTTACTTGTCGGCTTGTTGTGGTTTTCACGTTGTTGATTGGAGTCGACGGGCGAAAGGGATGACACAGAAAAAAAAAAAAAGGGTGGAATCGACCAATTATGAGAAATCGTACGACAGTCCAAGGACAAAAACAAGCCAGGCCGGTAAAAGACAACAGACCGGAACAACGACACGCACCTACACAGTACTCTTCGTCCCGGCCGCTACAAGTGAGGGGGAAGGATTGGGGTCCACGTGGAATGGGCCGATGCAGATACCCCCGCTGAGTGTCGCAAACCTGGGGCGCGATGGGGATATGCATCGGCCTACACATTATTCAGAACCAATGCCATGCTAAGAAGGGGTTCACCTCCGCCTCGAACTTCAGCCCTGACGGCCACAAGTCTGGGTGCAGCGGATTGCTGCGAGAGAAGAGGCGGTAGGCTTCGGTGACGGTGGACGAGTGCTCCTCGTCGTTGCTGTACACCGCGCCGCTAGCCTTCCCAGCGTCCCACTTGGCTCGCTCGCGCTGCGCCAGGAGCTTCATCTGTTATCACGCGGGGAAGAAGACGAAGGACGGCTTGGGAGTTGTGACGGTGGCGATGGTGGTGTTCAACAGGGTAACTGGTCGTCAATGGTGGTGTTGTCTGTTGTTTGTTTTGCTAGTGTACTACTGTTGAAAATTTTTCTCGTTCAAGTCTTTGTTACGACGGTCGTTGCGGGATTCTACTGCAACACTTCGATGCGTCGCGAATACTCTTGAAACATGGACTGTTGCGCATGCGCAGCTCGCTTCAACGCTAACCCCATCGAGTTCACAGACGGGCAGTGTTCCCTGAATCTTAGAATTCATTCGCGCGCTCGTGCCTCAGCGATAACCTCTTCCCGCTGCTTTCCCTCCGCCGGGAGAGCGCGATGAGTCTCTTCGTCATCCTTCCCGGGCCTCAGGGTGGCTTGGAGGTGGGCCTCCGTCTTCGCAACCTGCGACAAGCAGGGGGGGGTGTTCCATCGCAAAGCGAGATATGTGGAGTTACACGCGGACAACGGGGGAGACTCGCTCATGGCGTCGAAGAGGGTGCCCGCTCAGAGGCGAGCGGTCTTCGGGTGTTTTGTCCGCCACCAAAGGTTGACGTGACAATTGAAGCCTAGGGATACCATCATGCATATCGGCACAGACTCACCCAGCCCTCAGAAAAACGATTGCGTGGGTGGGTGAGCTTGACTTGTCTTGGCTACGCCAATGACGGCGATAAGCATGCTGGGGCAGCTTGGAAAACACCATTTGAAAGAATAGTACGAATCTCGTCCTACCTCTTTCTGCAGGAGCCGTGCTACCGCTGGCAGATGCCGCACCACTGCGAAGCCATGGTCGGCGACGAACGCCTGTCCGATGACAAGTGGGAAAAGCCGAAGGAGAGAATGAGAAGCATGAAAGTGTTCTTCAAATAACTCCAAGACACCGAGGAGGACATGATCAAATTAACAAGGTTCAAGCCATTTGAGAAGATTGCTCTGGTGGAACTCTGCGACAACATTCCGACATCGGAGGTCGAACACGCGATGATTTCCCCCAAGCGGTTGAACCGAGAACCTAAACGTTAATCGCGAGTACTATCGCTGTAGTGAAGCCATAAAGGTGTGCGTTTCCGAATGAGTGTCCGCCACCCCCTTGATGGAACCGCCACTTTTTCAGCAGCGGCGGACGCCGCTTCGGCGTTTGTGCCAGAACAACGTAGAGTAAGGTATAGAAAACGCTGAAGGATTTCCACGCTGTACGAGAGCGGGCCGCGGGCTGGAGCGTTGCGGGATGTACCATGACCGCATCTCAGTCTCGTCGACACATGGCGCAAGGGGGACGATAGTTCGGGGCCTCGGTCAAACAAGAATCACACGAAAATACGTGAAGTACAAGACACCAGACTACATGACAACGGAGACGACACAGCGAGTCGAAGAATAGCATGAACGCAGCAGAGAATAAAAAAAAACAAACGTATCCCGTACCTGTTTCGCCGCTAACGGAGATGCGAGTATTTCCCACACTTGTCGTAACGCCCTCGCCGCTACGGCCACGAGAATAATCTGGTTCAATAGGCGTCGAACCGATCGCTAATAGGTGTCAAGGTGATTGCCGCATGCGTATTTTCCCTTGCGCACTCCATACGCAATACAGTATGGCAGTCGAAACAAGTCGCCCCAAAACGGTGTGGGAAAAAAATGCACGGATATTCATCGCCACACACCCTTTCTACACAACCCCGTCCACGACCTTTTGATTGTTCCTCTCTGCAACACCGTCGCGCTCTACCGTTGTCTACGCGTCACGTACAGCGAGTGCGTCTTCTACGAAGAGGAGGCGGGGGCCCTCGGGCACCGCCCCACTGAGAGCATCGAGCAATTCCTCCAAGAGGCTGTGCTTGATTGGCTGCTCCCCGTCTTCTCCTTTGCCCTGCCCGTAGTCCAACGCCTAGGGAACGTCGAAGAACCATCGACGGAGAAACAATGGATAGTCCAAATCGGCGCGTACCAAAACGGCAAGAGTCACACGACCTACAAAGGTACGTGCCGAGGTTGGAGATCGCGAGCAGAAAACAATCTCCAGCAAAAATCACGAAGGGCTACAAAACAGCATAGCTTCAAGGAGGCTGGTTCTGCTGCCGTCTCTTGCTTCAGCTCCCAGTCAGGAACCGCGTGTACACCCCGGCGCTGGCTGAGGCGCCACGATCAAATGTCGGAAATATGCGTTTGGGCTGCCGGGAGGGGAGAGATCCACGTCAGGATTTTTCCTTACCCGCATGAGCAAGATGGCGAACAAGCTTCCCCAGACAAAGGCTCCTCGGAACCGATGGATTGGACGGGAGATGCGTGGGTGAATCCAAGGTCCCCGAGTCCGTCCCACAGCCTGAGAATTTACGTTTTTGCCGAAGGGCAAGGAGAACGCATGGCTTGCTGAATTGTGGCTAGAGTTGTTTCGGATGGAGCCCTTGCGAAGGCTTGGCGCGGGTTGACATGTTCGGCTCCGAACGACGGATTCCTTATTCAACCTAGAAGCGAACGATGACATTAACAACAAGTATCCAGCGATTGCGAATCCTTCACAAGCACTACTGTTCGTTGCTACACATTTTGTGGCGTTGACGAGGCCAGAGAACAAAGGAGTGGACTCCGTGATCATCACCTCCCACGAAGCGAGGCACCGGCAAGCACCTCTAACATTTACCAGCAGGCCGTGAGGAAAAACCGTTATGAAACAAGGACAGACTTGAACGCAATTGCTACCCATTCGACGTATTGAGAAACATGAGAGTGCCACAAGCTGACCACCGCGTCAGTAGAGAGGTCAAGCATTTCGCACGTGCCTGTGTGACCGTTGGTGGCAGTCTACCTCCACACGCCTCCTTTGCAATCGAGATAGAAACTCACACAAGTGTAAACAAGGTCAGCTTCGCATTCGATATTGTTTTATGCTTCCTACTGATGCCGCAATATAGAGGACACCCTATTGCAGCGGGGGGGGTGTGATGGTGCGCTCTGATCTGCTACTTGGGTGGTGATATCGAGGGTTGTAGGTGGCCTGCAATCTCCGCAAAGTAGACCGACACCTGGGCGTCTTGTACTGCTTGGGCTCGCCGCAACTGACCCAAATCTCCTGAAAAGCAGGTTTACTGCTGTACCTGATTCGCTACTGCTGTCAACCCGTTCAGGGGTTTACGGTCCGTGGAGGTGAGCACGGCTGCGACAAACGTGGAGTTCCGGCGCAGATTACGGACCTTTTCAGAGACTGCTGCGACCTTCGATATTTAATTCCAGCAGCAATCCTGAACATGCCAGCACACGCGACGCCTCTTTATGGTATCCTCCACTGATCACGTAACTAGGATATAGATAGACCGGCGCGAGGGCTCTCTTTTTGGATACAGTCAACCCAGCTTTAAGGACGCACATGGTTTTTTCCGAAAAAAAGCGTCCTGAAAGCGGGGTTGCGTCCTTAGAATTCAGGGGACGATAGCTCACCATCCCCGGGGTCAATGGAGGCATGCTATATCTCAAACTATGCGTCTTTTGCTAAGCTAAGGAAGGGGGTGGTACGAAAAGTTAGGATCGCCGAGACGACTGGCAACCGTTTGTTGACGTCGAACATATGTGCGATACTTAAAATGAGATTTACAGCAGTCGAGGACGTGTTGAAAACAACAGCACACCAGTTTGTACTTGGCCAACTAATGTACTGCATAGCCGGCAGGGGAAGGAGGAGGAAAGTCCAAGTAGACATATATTTATCTCATTTTTGTGAAACAAGAAAAAAACGAGCGTATTCCAGCGTCGCACCGAGGCACCAGTACATATCACTGTAGTCCCGGCGGAGACCAAAACCTACCTGGATGGCTTTTCCTTCCACATATATCGCGAAGAGTTCCCTGAACCTCCCCCCGCGGCTTGGCTCTACGGCTCTGTTGAGCTTCGTGAGTAAACGAATGAACGGTCTTCGAAAGAAGGTACTGCGTCTCACGGTACTCGCCACCCCTTCCCTTCGCGTACAAATACAGATAGCGCCCGCAGTTAAGAAAAATTCTGTTACGAAAAAAGGCTTTAAGTTTGTACGAAAAATTAGAAAAAGGGGATAAGAAACATACTCAATCTCGGCCACAACGTAAGAAACGCCCCCAATAAGAAACATGGTGCGATACCCCCATGACATCAGAAATCTGCGGTGCTTCCACCCCCCTCCGAAGCTGAACAGAAGTGCATTATTTTTGGAGGAGTGACCAGAAACGGGTATACCCGGATAGATTATCACCATTTCAGGGTACACTTGGAAATCAAGACCACACCAATCTCCGACAGCATCCGCCGTACATCGCAGCGAAACCAGTAAACCGCTGTCTGTGTCCTGTGTGTCCTGTGCCTCGGAAGCATGATGCAGGAGGCAGGTCGTGCCCGTTTTTCTCTCTCTCTGTGCCTCTCTCTCTTTCTCTGTGCTTTTACTGATCAGTACCACACCGAAGTACTCGCGCGTCAAGCGAGTCCGACCCTCTGTTGAGAAGGGCTGGTATCCTACGGAGGCGGTGCCCATGAACGATGAACGAGCGAGCGTTGTTGGTGGTTTAGTTGTGGTTGTGTATGTGTGGTACACGGTATGTGCGGCACACGTTTTTTTCTGCGGGTTTAATGCTAGAGCGTCAGGCGCCGGGATTAGATGACCATTTCTGGGTACAAAATTGACCTCTTCCGGGTACACCACTAACCAATATCGGTCACACCAGAGGGTCCTTATTCCAGCGGAAGTTGTACCTGATGGAGGTTTCTCCAGAAATGGGTACAATGGTTTTTCGGCCAATCAGCTGACAGCCTGGGGGTGCAAGCGTGTTGATTTCAAACTGTGCCCCAAAGTGGTGATAAAGTACCCGGGTATACCCGTTTCTGGTTATTGGTCTTTTTTTTTTGCAAGGTGCAGAGTCCCCCCTNCAAGCCAATTCACGTCGTGAACTCGGCAACCAGGTTACGTTTTTTTTTTTTTACATCCGGTTTTTTTTTTTGGCGGTAACA